AATGTGTGATGTATTGATGTATTGATTGTATTTCTGTGAGTTGTTGCTGGTTGTGTACTACGTAGCATTTTTATCTTTTGATTAGTATGATTGCTACGAAGTTCTTTTCTTTTTTTTTTATTGATTTTCTAGATTGAAGTATTTTTTTGTAAATTTTTGTTGTTAGTGCGCCTGTGCACACAGGAATTTCCTCTTTTACAGGATCCATAATCTGCCCCGTAGGGGTGGTTATGTTTTTAGGCACAAATAAGTAAATAAATAAACAAATGAATACATCGCTAATTCATGCAAAATGAACTTACCACAAGCATTGATTAAGAAGTATAAAACTGGCTAAAATTCATAACTGTCATTAAGAACAGAATCTTCAAATTTTGAAGTCCAATCAATCATTACTAATTTAGCCTATTGACTTTCTATTAGACTAATTTCATCCTTTTAAACAAACTCTTTCATAAAAGGAAGTCTTTAAAAGCGAATCGTTTCTATTTAGTGCATACTTGCACAGACGAAATTTGTAAATTCTTATAAAATTAAATTTGACGGTAATCTATAACACAGTTCTTCGCATAACCCTTTTAAGTATAAAAACGCTCGCACTTTTACAAAATATATTGCTTTATTGTCAAGTTCTCGTTCTTGAACTTCATCATCAAATTCAGTGCCTAAATCTAAATATCTAATATTGATGAAAGCCAATTAATTATCAATAACATCAATGATGATATTGATATAATTATCAGCTGTAAATTAAGGTTCCATTACCTTAAAAATAAAATTTTTCAAGTCTTTATCGATCTTACTCGAATAAACATTATATTTTTAAAATGCGATGTTAAAATAATTCAAATCGTGTGAAATTGGAGTTACTACAATTAAAAATAAATAGTTCGTATCATCACTTAAAATTATATTTAACTGCTGAGCAGTATAACATTGCCCTTTGTAGCTAGCTGGGCCTAAATGGGTCTTAAGTTTTAACCAAATTTTTAAGATTACATTTACAACATTGTACCGTGATAACCAACACGTTGGTGCTAATTTAACAACGTTTAAAAAATTTTTTGGCGTGTCATTAACGTTGTCCTCGTTGCAAATATTTATTGCATCCCAAGGTTCTTTATACTTTATTCGGCTTATGGTGCTGTTTGCGAACCAATTGTACACCTCTTTACAAAGAAATTCAACGTGTTTAGAAAACTTTATGCCAGCTGCTGATGCTGCATTATTCAGTGCATGGCAAATGCAACGCACCAGTTGTATTGATGGATATTTTTTTTTAGTAATGCAAACCAGGACTTATTTTTTCCGCACATATTTGATCCACCGTCAGTCCCCACGCTATTCATGCGATTTAAATCAAGTTTTATATCTTCACAGTAAACGGTAAGAGCAGTATACAATGATGTAGCATCTGCATGCTCAAGTTGGATTATTCCGAGATAATTAGTTACAATGCTTTTGTTGCACACACTAAAATATTTGGTACACACGCACATGAACTTATTCACACTCAAATCAGTCGACTCGTCTATTATATAAGAAAAGGGCATTGAACCGATGTCTGCAATTAGGTCACTAGAAGATTAGGTGCTATAACATTATTAATAAAACTTATGCATTTTGTTCGGTGCAACTTGAAATCGTTCATCGACAAGATAGTGTTTTTTATTAGTTCACACTGATGATTCATCGTACGTACAGATGAATGCGGCGAATTTTATATCGTGAATTTTGTCATCGTCTGTAGAAATTTTTCCCATCGAAACGATCGATCGTTTCTTACTTAAGTTGATATTTTCCATTGATTTTTTTGAGTGGGTTTCTCACTATGTCTTTGTAAATTATTACTGTGTGCACGTAGATCTTTGACACAAACTCTGCAGAATGCGTAGTTCCCTTTTTTCTTGACAATTTCTGCACTCGCTTTCATGAGTCATCCTAATATATACTGTGACGTGCGAGGTTTTGGGCACTAGCCCATGCTCGGCCTGCCGTCTAATTATTTCTTACCGAGGCTCCGGTAAGCCTATCGTTGAGTCTTACCTCAGAAGGGGTCGAGCCGCCACCAAGTGCGCCGCGAGCGTCGGCAGTCCAAGCTGAAAATAAGTGAGAGAGGGTCGCGAAAAGACTACGAACAAAAATGTACTTTTGCACACAAATAATCGTTCTTTATTTAACTTCGACTTTCAACTATCATTCATACAATCATCACTGCAATTCATGCCTCGGACGTAACTGATTATACGCGAGTCCAAGGGGAAAACGCGCGGATTACAACGTTAGTCCGACGCGAGTCCCATTCGAGTGCCGCGTAATTGCACTGCGCGCAATCGGCTCGTTTCTCCGAAATACGGTCGACGCCTTCGCTCTGCTCGCGCTAGCAGACGCGCGGTTTGGTCACGCACGACCAAGACCGAACGCGCTATCTCGCTTGCCCTCACAGGAGCGTCCAAGGCGGAAGTGCCGCTTCGCAAAAATGGCCACGCGCCGGCCTGAAACGCGACACGTGGACTCGAACCACGTCTTGAATCCAAGGTACTCGCTACAATTACTCCGATTTCCACTCCTCGTACTACAACGATTCTACGGCGAACTTCTTATTTTCTCTTCTACATTCACGCCACGCAATCATACAACACTCTCACACATCCACGCGACCGACCAAGCTTAATCCAATTTACAACCTTCTTCGTCGCTCCGTTGCCTCGGCCTTTATTCTCGATGTTGACTCCCGCTGTCCCCCAGCTGCTCCGTCCTCGTGGTCTGCCCGGTCCAAGGGCTCTTGCCTCGCCTCGGAGATGTCTCGGACGATTGATCAGAAAAGTCGCTGTACAGCGAATCGCGCGGCTCGCTGCCTTCCGAGCCTCACGATCGCCTCGTCACCTCGCAACTCTTCTCTCGTCGCACTGCACTCCAGGCTTAAGCTCAACCTCTCCACGAACACAACACACGAACTTCCGCTGCACGCACAGCTTGTTCACGACCAACTCTACCGCTGCCACACAGCTTGTTCACGACCCACTCTACCGCTGCCACACAGCTTGTTCACCACCGACTCTACCGCTGCCACACAGCTTCACACTCGACTTTACCGCTGCCACACAGCTTCTTCACAACCAGCTCTAACCGCTGCCACACAGCTTCACTCTGCAATTCTACCGCTGCCACACAGCTTCACACTGCAATTCTACCGCTGCCACACAGCTTCACACTCCAATTCCACCGCTGCCACACAGCTTCACTCTCCGACCTCTCACTCCTCGACACGTCCGTTCTACCTCGCGGTCTAATTGCGAATCCCCGGTGTGCACTGTCGCGCAGATCGACGACGCATCGAACGCGAGCGCTCGATTCGCACCGATCGATCTGCTCTCCAGTGCACGTGGTCCGAGAGACGCGTCCGAGGTTAACTTGGCTCTTCCTTTGCCCTGAACCTCGAACGCGCGCTCCAGTGATACTTCGATTTTCCTACTTTATCATCCTCTCGGTCGCGCATCTCACTCACACATTCACACATTACAGCTTGCGTCATTTTCGCGATTTACCGCTCAGTGACATCGTCACAATAAAAAAACAAAGAATATATGAAACTTTTATAAGGTCAGCTCGTATAAAAGTAACTTTTAAGTGTAAATAATAATTGGAAACTTTATTAAACTAAATACGTATATCAAAAATCAAGTCCACACGAACTTACTTTTCACCCAGACTCCGCCTGGCTCTTCGGATGATTCATGCATAGGAGGGGCGACGTCCCATGCGTCGTCGTCGCTAACTAGATGGTGCTCGGGAGACCGCGAGAGTCGATGAGAAAAGGAGGAAGCGAGAAAGGTGCCGAAATAAATAGCAACGAGCAACAAATACTGTTAAATAATAATAGCAGTATTTATTGCGAATGACGAAAACGTTATAAAAGGCGCGAACTGTCGCGAGCGGCTAAGGCTAGTGTACGTCCAGTGCTGCGGCGCAAACAAGAGTGACGAGTGAGTCGTGCTGCGGCCGGCTCGACGCTAGGCCGACACCAGCAGCGACACGCAGTGCCGTGAGCGATAGGTAGCGAGAGGGGTAAGCAAGCCAGACAACGCCACAATTTCTTATGATTACAATAACTATAGCATACCAAAATTTCAGGAAAACCCGTGGACCTCGTTCGTAGGTTTATTTAAAAAATTCTGAATCTGACCCATTTACTATAATTTTATTCAAATTTATAACATAACTTAACCTTCGTAATGCTTTGTGTAACGTGATTTTATAAGCTCACAATTTTTTGTTACTCCAATTTTTCAAATTCCAGATGTTTTTTACTTTATCAAAATAATTTAATCTTTACTAATTTGAAAACTAAAAATTTAACAGAATTATTCGATTTTAGACTATTGTTAAAAATGATATAAAGTGGCCAAATGGAATAACAATAGATTTGGTTAGTAAAAGAATTTATTGGATCGATGCTAAATTGAACACCATTGCATCTTGTGATTACAATGGTCACCTAAGACGTACTGTACTATTTTCAAAAATTACTATCCAACATCCTTTTAGCATAACGACATTTGAAGATTATGTTTATTGGACTGATTGGAAGCAAGATAAGGTTTATAAAGCTAATAAATTTAATGGGGAAGAATTAGAAATAATTATTTCTTCAAAACATACTCATCACCCATTTGTTGTACAAGTATATCATCCATATAAACAACCTGATGGCTTAAATATTTGCGAAGCGGTCAAAGGACATTGCAGTCATTTCTGTTTACCACTCCCTAGAAACATGAAAAATAACAGTAATCAATTATTCAATTGCGCTTGTCCTGATGGATTTAATTTATCAAATGATAAATTAACATGTACCTTAGAAACAGGTTAGTATTTTGGAATGACATTATTAACCTGTCGAATGCCAAGAAACCTTAATTTCGACTTCTTTTTTCACGCTTTATTTTTTTTTATAAAACCACTAGCGATACCCGTCGTGGCTTCGCTCACGTTAAATTTGTAAGGAGTAGGAGAATATTTATAAAAACGAAATGAAATTTTAGACTTTTGTGGATAAAGACATTCAGAAATATATTTACAAAAGGGCTTGAGGGTACACAATATTTTTAGTTTTCCCATTTGGAATGAACATAAATAAATCGGAAGGTTTACCGACGCGTGAACAGGCTACGTATAGTTGTCCGTGTGAAAAGCATGGGTTCTCCAAATCAATTCCACAAACTTGTAACGATTGTCCTTGAGATTTATTAATGGTCATTGCGAAAGCAAGTCGTATAGGAAACTGCAATCGTTTGAACTCAAAAGGCATGTCAGTTGGTATCATAGGAATACGTGGCAGCAGAACATCAGTACCCTTATATTTGCCATTTAAAATTGTTGCTTCAATGATATTTTTCATTAGCATTTTCACTGCAAGCCTTGTACCATTACAAAGTCGTGGTGGATTTATGTTCCGGAGAAGAATTATGGGAACACCAATTTTTAATGTTAAATCGTGTGGAGGCATGCCTGGCAAATCAAGTGAATTTAAAAATTCAGTGGGGTAATGGACAACTTCGTCCTGGTTCATTACTGTGTCGATCGATTTATAAGTTGTAGGTTCTCCGGGTATTTCATTTTGAATTGAATAATTAATCATGTGGACATCGTTGTTTGTAGCTGCTAGGATAGCGCGCTCGCTAAGCCATTTATGACTTGTATAGTTTTGCGTAAGATGTGGAAAAACCTTCTGAATTAATTGACTCCTTGACGCAGTCGTAGTACAAAAAGTTGGTGGCATCGTGATTAATTGTGTGGACGTGTGTGTAACCATTTTTCCATTGCCAATGTCTAGTAACTGTTGTGTGAAAAGCTCAGCGGAGGTATCATTTTGTAACTGAACACGCATATTTTTTTTTAAGCGCAATGTTTTTACATTTTTCCACAAATTGGATGACTTCAGACATGCATTGAGTTCATCAGCTGGTGTTGAGCGTGGAATTACTGGTAAAGTTTGTCTGAAGTCGCCTGACAATAAAATCAGCGCTCCCCCGAAGGGTGAACTGTTTTCCCTCAAATCTTGAAGTGTACGATCAAGTGCTTCCAAGGCCTTTTTGTGGGCCATTGTACATTCGTCCCATATAATAAGTTGACATGTTTGTAAAATTTTTCCCATGCCGGAATTTTTAGTTATATTGCATGTTGGCGTCTCAGTAACATGCAAATTTAAGGGTAATTTTAATGCAGAATGTGCTGTTCTACCACCATCTAAAAGTGTTGCGGCAATGCCAGATGAAGCAATGGCAAGAACAAAGTTATTTCGGGACCAAATCTTCGTAAGAAGGAGTGAAATAAGGAAAGTTTTTCCTGTCCCTCCAGGTGCATCAAGAAAGTACAATCCACCGACTTTATTATCTATTGCGCTAATAATAGTATTGTAAACAACACGTTGTTCCTCCACTAATTTCGGTAGATTTGTTAAAAGGAAATCTTGTAATTCTTGGATGTTGTATTGCGATTCACGTTGTAAATCACGTTCGCAGATATCCATTACTGATCGATTCGGCGCAGTCAGTCCCAATTGAGTCAATGTCTTATTAGCAATAGTCAAGCATAAGTCCTCGATCAAAATGAGTGCCTCATTGTATATGATTGACGTAAATTGCATGTCTGCAGACGTTGCTCTCAAACGATACAAAATGTCTTCACTCATATAATTTTCGTAATTGTTCCAAAGAATTGTTGGATTAGATGAGAAACACGTGACTAATATAATTGCAAATAACATTCGTATTTGCTGTGGTGTACCAGTATTTGACGCATCAGCAAGTGCTGTATCCCAATGCGTATCATTTTCCAGAAGTTGTAATTTATAGCAAGCGTCTCGATACGTTTCACACACTTGACCATTAATAGTTTTTAAATCTTGGAAGGATGTAGGTCCACGTACGTTAATTAACAGTAATCTTAAGTAGAAACATTCTTGATTGTTAGGATGAACTGTATATAGACGACCTAATGCATCAGAGGAACGCAAATTGGAATGTCCTGGAACTGGTTTTCCTTGTAGACGACGTTTAAACTTTTTAGTAGATTTATTCCATGTATAATATTGTGGGACCTCAGAATATAGAAGTGACCTTGCAAATAAATCACTCTAGCATAATGAAAAAAAAGCAGTTAATGTAGTTTGCGGTGGTGCAAGAGCTCTTTCTCGGACATTTTGCATTGTGAAATAAACTCGCTGACCATTTTCAAGGTGTACTGCCAAATGAGTCACTGTTGGATGACGCTCATGTATGGGAAATGCCAGAATACGCCAAACAGCTTCATTACTACTAATGTAACGTCCTGATTCATATTGTTCGATTTCATCATGTGCTTCGGTTGCAGCACCAATTCCGAAGACGGCCATATCACTGCCTTTGTTAACATACTTGCAAATGTATTTAATTGATTTTACAGAATTGCAGTATTCAACATTGATGTGAGCCTTGAATGTTTTTGAAAGTAATGGAGAATACGGCACAATCCATCGATTATCAATTTCAACTTCACAGTTATTCATTCTTATGATAGTAGATTCTCCACCGTCATGTATGGAACGTCGACGATACTAAGGATATCCATCTTCTCCTGTGATAGTGTTGTTGTTCAAGTCTCGTGGATAACGTTTAGTACATTTTCCATCCTTCATGCAAGGAGAACTGTTGTTTATGATACCGCATGGACCATGAATCATATTTTTTCTAACAATTTCGAAAAGTTCCGGATCGATGTTCGAATCTGGTATTTCTGCTGATATGATTTCATCAATTTTGTCTGGTGTAATTTTTTCCATAAACCAAATCAAAATATGTGCATGAGGTAGTCCTCTTTTTTGCCATTCAATGGAATACATCCAACAGCGTGTCTCTCCAAAAGTACGATGGTTGACAATGAAATTCATGAAAGATTTTAATTTTTGCTTAAAAACGCGTGCGACAATATCATGGCGATCTGAAGAGGATTGTCCAGGTAGCAGCAATTCTTGAATTTCATCCCAAGTAGGATTGCATGTGAAAGTGATGAATAAATCTGGACGGCCGTATGAACGAACGTACGTCAGTGCATCCTGTGCGTATTCATGCATGTGTCGAGGACTCCCTGTAAATGTAGTTGGTAATATAACCATTTTTCCTAATGCACGAAGATTTCCGTCAGTAGCAACTGCATCGCGTAAGTGAATGTATTCTTCGGAACGCAATTTCTTTTGATTTAAGTGAATGTAGAGAAGTCGTTCACTCTCGACTTTAGCGTACATATCGACAATATACTAATGGAATAATAGCCGACATTTAAGAATGTGATTGAAAGCCCCTTCACGAATCATCAATCGGTATGCGTAGTAGTTCATAGAGCTGACTTTTTTTGTGTCCTCCTCTTGTGTTCCTGGTTTTAACATTTTAATATTAAAGTGATATCCATCTTCTCCTTGCCAAAATATTATCGGATATTGCAATGCATCGTAGGATCGATGCGTTTCTGGGATTCGTATGACATTTCCATTTCTCCGGTGAAGAACTATATCACGTGGATGGAATTGTTCGCCGACTATAACGATTGCCACTTCATCAATCGTTGGTGCATTGTATCTTCTCTCATGTTGACCATTAGGTGTTTTGTCAGGTCTAATAACAACGGCAAAATTATCAGCTGGCATTCTCTCGAGGGCCGTTCGAAACAGTGTAACTAAAGCGTTGTGTTGATCGAAAAAATCTTGCAAGTCAGAGACAATTGCTCTATGAGTAATCCTACTGAGCCGACAGCGTTGATCAACTTGTTCATTAGAAGTTCCCATGAAATAAATTTGAAGAAATTTATAATCGGAATCTAGTGGAAGCAGCGATCCTGCGCGATGATAAATTTGTCCTTGAACTTTGAACGTTGACATGAAATTGTTTTTTACAATATCAGTTGCACCAAACGATGTCATTTGAAAACATGAATTATATTTGCAAATATTTTTCAAGAAATGTTTTGATATGCGCGTGTGACCTATGAATAGAAAGTATATTTGCAAACGGTTTTCAAGAAATAATTTCAAGAAATTGATAGACGTTACCTGTTACTAAAAATAGTAATGGTTCGGGAGGTACAGTCAAATCTGGTAATTTAACTTTTCCACCCACGCAGCACATTCCGGGGGACTCATTTTTTAAATTTGAACGCACCACAAAATTCACATAATTTATCCATTTTACCGATGATTACTTTTTCATGGTGACTGTAATCTATGCTGGGATCATAGTGAAACGCAGCGTGATGTAAAGACAATGACACTCTTCGTTGAACGCGACGTTCGCGTTCAGCTGCTAGTCTTGAGGTGCGGCGGTCGAGAGTTTCGTTGGCACGGATTCGAGCATGACGTAGACGGTCAGCCTGTAACCGTTCAGCTCGTTGCTCAGGAGTTTCGGAGGAGCGGGCTTGAGCAGTTTGTACTTGAGAAGCCTGCAGTCTTGCCTGTCGATCTTCAGGTGGTTCGGAAGATCGTAAAATACGTTGATAGCGAGCTCGTGATGATGAGTGACCAATCGATGCATGCTTGGGGGGAATTTTTAAGAGAAAAAAATTTGAGAGAAAATAGACGAACTTTGCAAGTATAATTCACAATTAGGAATGACAGAAGATTTAAAGTAAGCAACGTTCATCGTACGACAACGACAGCTATGTTTACGTATGAAAGGGAAACGTAAATAAAGTCATTTAAACGATATAACTAAAAATTCGAGATTAACTTTCGAATATCTTTAATTAATAATTGTGGAATATCACCAATGAGCGATGAGCGATGAGTGCGCGGGAGCGGATGAGTGTGTGCGAAGGGGTAAAAAACGAAAAAAATTCAAAACTCAAAAACAAAAAAGTAAAAACGTATTCTAAGATCATAGAAACCTTACCAATGGTACAATAAATGTATGGTAAAAATTTCAAGCCGATCGGACTGGTAGTTTTTAAGAACATAAAATACAAACAGACGTCGTTTCTGCTTTATATATATTGCAAGGTATTTCCCTAAATTTTCGACAAATGATAAAGACGCGAGCTTGCGCACGGGCTTATCACGCGAGTCAAGCACGACACGCGTGCGCGAGCTACGACGCCGCACGCGAGAAGCGCCGAAATACGTCCCCTGCCCCGGAGACCACTCACCGTACCCCGGGCCTTGTACCATCCTTGTCAAGTGCACGCACTGGCATACGTAAATTCCCCCACGTAGAGCCGCCGAGAGCGTAACGGTAAGGAAGGGGCAGCCCCAGCGGCAGTATAAAAGGAGCCGCAGCAGAGAGAAGACCCACTTTAATTTGCCTACAAAAATACAAGAAAACCCGAGATATTCGGTAAGCTAACCCCATGCGGGATTGCTATTTAGTTTAAGTAATTTCTCGGCGACTCTAATCGACCGTTAAACACCTGCCCATGCCTCAATGGCCGGAGAAGGTGAATCTGATGTAATTCAGACGGAAGATGAGCGTCGCACGAGTCGAGAACAGCTATAAGACTGCACATGCTTTACAAGCATGGAAAGTTAATAGTAAGTCGGTTCACCGACTTTTTCTGTTCTCAACTCAACATACCATTACACAAGATGCGAGCAAAAAGCCTGCATCAACGTGTGAAGGAATAGGAAGTGTTGAAGTTTCAAGCAAACGTGATTTATTTCTGTAGTGCAACCGTACAACGGATCGGCAGCAGCGGCAACGATCACTGTAAGCGAGAGGCCAACATCGATCCCCCGCCCTTCTTTCACAACGGAGCAGCGCATAAAATGCAAGTTTCTTTTGTTGGTTATTATTAAAAATCCGTTTCATAAATTTCGGTCGGCCCGTAAAAGCATACGCGCTGCTACATTCTCTCGTGTGATATTAGATAATATAATACCAGACGAGAGAGCTCACAGCAAACACTCGTGACTAACCTCTTTTTGTGTATAAGATAAGCACGTGCGTGCATGCATGTTACACATACGTGCGCATCTTTAACGAACGAGGCATCGTACACGCTCGCGGGAGAACAAAGAGACGCGAGTGCGCCCTCCCCTCCTTTTCGCGCTCACCGTACAGAGCTGTAACTGCGTAGTAGACAACTACGCGGGAGGTACGCGTATCGGCCGCTATATGGGGGAAATCGTGAAACTCGTGACTCCGATATTCTTTCACACAGGTACGAAGATCTTATAGAAAACTATTGTTAATCGAACTGATTCGTGACAATAGTACTATAAGCACAAATCGAAGCGAGGACACATCAACAGCCCGAAGCAGGAAAGACCGACAATTTAGAAATTTTTAACACAATTAATACTTTTGCACAATTCCAAAGATAAAAATAAATAAAAAGAAAATTTCCTATAAACAGTCTGACAGTGTGTTTATGAAACCCCGTTTAAATTTTATTATTGAATATAAAGAAAGATAAACATACAATATTGAACCTCGCACTCTGCGACAAAGAGGGACATTTACTGACAATAATTATTGCACCGCGTGCGCGCGCTTATGCAAAAAGGTTCAATATTCTTGCAATATAGATGAGCGATGAGCGATGAGTGCGCGGGAGCGGATGAGTGTGTGCGAAGGGGTAAAAAACGAAAAAAATTCAAAACTCAAAAACAAAAAAGTAAAAACGTATTCTAAGATCATAGAAACCTTACCAATGGTATAATAAATGTATGGTAAAAATTTCAAGCCGATCGGACTGGTAGTTTTTAAGAACATAAAATACAAACAGACGTCGTTTCTGCTTTATATATATAGATGTATGGTAAAAATTTCAAGCCGATCGGACTGGTAGTTTTTAAGAACATAAAATACAAACAGACGTCGTTTCTGCTTTATATATATAGATAGATAGATTGTCAAATTAATGTAAAAATACCATATATTATAGAATTTTTATCGCTTTTTTGAAATCTGTCGTCAAATTTACGATCTATGCAACCGTTTTAAAAATACATTTGTATAAACAAAAGCGTGGTTTTTGAATATTTGTCTTCAAAATAATTGTATTTTTCACCACGATTACGCATTCGATACGATAAACATTTTATACTGCTTTGCTCAGTGCTCTGCACCAGATCCAGAGTTTGAATCCGATCCAAATGCGTAATTTTTGTAAAAAATACGATCATTTTGAAGACAAATTTTCAAAAACCACGTTTTTTTTGTTTAAAAGAATGTATTTTTAAAACTGTTGCATACATCGTCCAGATTTGAAAAAAGCGATGAAAATTCCAATTTACATGGTATTTTAATATTAATTTGACAATGGTTTTATAAAAAAATAACGCATAGAAAAATAAATCAAAATTGGGGTCTCTTAGTATTGGACAGGTTAACTATAAATGTAGTATGAATGTTTCAAATATTAAGGGGACCGACCCGTGTTAAAAGCATAAATTCAGCTTCAGCTAAAAATAGCTATATAAATCGAAATAGTGGAAATCTCTTTTTTGTGATAGTAAAACATGTTTATGCTACACCAGATTGACGAAAAAAACTTTTACCCAAGCTCTGAAATACCAATTACATCACTTTTTTCATAAGACGAAATATTGTGTTATAAATCACTAGCCGCATCATCTTGAAAAGAGTTTTTCATCAATGTTGAACAATGGGGTCTCAAAATCTTCAAAAAAGTACCCTTATCCACTTAAGCGGAACAGAATTTTGAAAAATTGCGTACAACTTTATATACACGTCAAAATGTGCTAATTTTTAAGAAAATTAGTATTTTATCAACACTAGAAGTCATATTTGAGCTCTTCGAAGAGGAACAAACATTTTTTTTCAAATTCTGCTCCGCTTAAATAGATGAGAGTACTTTTCTCAAGATTTTGAGACCCCATAGATCAATATTAATGAAGAGCTTACGTCAGAATCTCGTGACAAGCGAATTCTATTATAATATTTAGAATTCTGAAAAAATTGGCGTAATTGGCATTTCAGAGCTTGGGTAGAAGTTTTTTAATGAACATATTTTACTATCACAAAAAAAAATTTCTACTATTTCGATTTATATAGCTATTTTGAATTTAAGCTTTTAACACAGGTCAGTCCCGTTCAATATCATCACACAAATAAAACGAAAACATTGCTACAACCACAATCGTAAAACAAACAAAAAGGAAAATTAGGGTTTTTCGTCTAATTTAGTATAACCTGGTGTGATATTAGGAAAAAATACCTCATTTCTACGGGAGAAATTGTTTTCACATTGTAACGTAAATGGTTGTCATTAAACAATTATTTCGTTTAGTTGGTTTTGATATATCGATCATTCCGAGTTTGCCCCAGGAATTTTTGGTTAGTTCAATATTCTCTCTCACGTGTTTTGAAGTAAATTTGAAAGTAAGACGTCAATTTATCACATGCAAAACGAAAATGTTAATTGCCTCTGAAACCATGACTATTAGGAAAACACTAAATACAATGTATAATGATAATTTGGTAATAAAAACGTGGTCAGCATAGAATAAGATTAAAATAGTGAACTACTCTAATTATATTTATTTGAAATGAAGACTTACATTGTAGAACCTGGATGAATATTTGATACACCATAGCTGAGCTGATTCTCAGAACTATCTTGTTTGAAAACCAAAGAAGAAGTGAAGAAGTAATCGATCATACTTCCATGAGGTGATCATTGATTCTAACGCCTCTACACTTTTTGTATCAATTTTTCAAGCTTTTCGGTCAAATTGGAGGTTTTATGATAAAGCACTTACAAGGAGAGCTTTTCAGGTGCGGGTAATGGATTTGCTCCAAAATTTTTGTGTGGTCTCCTGGTACCCAATACTGAAGCTCCCTGTGCTTAGTTTGATCCAATGGGCCTTAGGGCCCATTTTGTAGAGGATTTTCCACATTATGAAGAAATCTTTGTTATTTTCTATATTGAAATGGTCCCAAAAATTCTGAAAAAATTCAAGCAGATTCTTTGAAAAATTTTAAAACTTTTGATCGTCTCATTTTTTCGTTAAAGTACTTCTATTCCGATATAGAAAATAACAAAGATTTTTTTATAATGTAGAAAATCCTCTACAAAATGGGCCCTAAGGCCCATTGGATCAAACTAAGCACAGGGACATTCAGTATTGGGTACCAGGAGACCCCAAAAAAATTTTGGAGCAAATCCATGA